GCAAAGGGCGGGGGAGAAGGGTGGGGGGCAAAGAAGGAGGGGGGAAGGCAGGGCGAGGAGGTCAGAGGAGAGGGGTAGGGTCGGGATCATCTGCAGCCTGATTGACTACCACACTCTCTACAAGAAGAACCGCTACTAAATGCAAATTCTAAATTCGATATTTTCATTTAATTTTCACCGAAATTGAGCCCCAACCGACAAACAAAATTTTTTTTTTGGCCTGAACAGCGGCCGTCCTCATGCAGTCGCTGATGCTTTTCCATCATTGGAATACTTTCCGTTACTATGTGAAAATGAACAAAAAATAAAAATTAAAAAATAATTTAAATAAATGCAAAGGGATTCTTTTTCCCCCCAAAAGAGCAAAAGATGGCTTCCATATTTTCTTTCTTTCTTTCTTTTTTTTTTTTTTTTTTTTAGTATTCAACTTTTCAGAATGCCGGGAAACAGGTCCACTGTCCCTCACATCAACTTTCCCGGCACGTTGGAAAAACCCTTTCTTTTCCATCATTGGAATACTTTCCGTTACTTTGTGAAAATGAAGAAAAAAATAATAATAATAAAAATGCAAAGAGATTCTTTTCCCCCCCAAAAGGGCGAAAGATGGCTTCCATATTTTCTGTCTGTCTTTCTTTCTTTCTTTTTTTCTTTGTTTCTTCTTTTTTTTTTTTTTTTTAACATTCAATTTTTCAGAATGCCGGGAAACGGGCCCACCGTCCCTCACATCAACTTTCCGGATAGAATTGTGGGTTCCCCGCCCCAAATTTATGTTTTGAAATGCAAATGTGGAATTGGGGAAAAAAAAAAGAAAAAAAAGAAAACCCTGGCATCTCCCCCGGATCCTGACCTGGGTCGCGATGGTCTGGAGGCATCACGTGACAAAAAACCTCGAAGAAGAAAATAATGAATCTGGGAACAGTGGGAAGGGGAAAAAAAAAAAAAAAAAAAAAAAATCTGAAATATAGTAATATAGTAAATATACACATTTCCTTCTTCCTTCGTTCCTTTTTTTTTTTTTTTAAATCCCCCTCCCTCCCTTTATTTCTTTCTTTCCTTCTTTCCCTTCTGTAATTTTTATTTTTTGTAGTAGCAGTAGTTTTCACACGACTTACGTTTATCCCCTTGGGGGAATTGGGAGAAGAGGCAGTCCCTCTGTTTGTAGCAGTGCACCTGGACGGGATCAAAGCCAGGAGCACGCTGCTGTACCCAAAAGCCAAGACGTCCATGTAAACTCAGATGAGATAGGGCTCCAGATGTGATTCCGGAGTCCAATTTTACTCATCCAGGTAATTAGCCCAAACTGACCATATTTAAATTTTGATTTAAATTTGAACAAATGAGGTACATCTCCCCTCCCTCCCCCTCCCCTCCCCCCAAAACACGCACAGACAGACACAAAAAAAATTATTATACTAAAAATTTAGTAAAAAAAAACCGTTGGACAGGTGGTCTAAATGGATATTATCACGGTCAAGATTCGCCAACGGCACAAGAGACAAAAAATTATGGCGGTGCATCTTTCCATTTCTTTTTTTTTNTTTTTTTTTTTGAGAAACATTACACTCTCATTCCAATGAGACCACCGGGGCCCGGGAACACACCCCTACATATCAACCCGTGGCCAAGTCCCACTTACGCGAAATCTTAACCCGGGGCCCGGGAACACACCCCTACATATCAACCCGTGGCCAAGTCCCACTTACGCGAAATCTCAACTTCCGACCGTAGATTCGGAAGATCAACGGCCCAAAATGAAGAATCAGCGTAAGTGGGACTTGGCCCCCGGTACAGATCTGCTGAGGCCAAAACTCAACTGTAGGCTCCTGGAAAGCGGACAATTCATTCTGATTGGGCACATTCGGTGAGCGGTGCATCTTTCCATGTTTTAGCGCACTACCAGCACGTATCAACAAATAAAAATTCATAAAAAAGTAAAAAATACCGACCTTCGATCTTCATGCCAGTGGACTCTCGGCTCTGGGAGATTCTATAAATTTTTTTTTTTTTTATTATTATTATTTTTTTTTTTTAAGGGCGATGGCCTTGAGATATCATCTTGGAGCTGACCAGCCCTCCAATGGTAAATTCAGAGTTATTTTCACTCATCAGATCCCATTGGAATACGAAACTCAGGTCTGCATTTCAACAGTTGGTAGGTGTACCTAACTGAGCTAGGCCAGTTCGGTTTGGTTTGGTTTGTTTTTTTTTTTTTTTTTTTTTTTTCGGCGTGTCATGCATTCGCAGTTGATGTTTTTTTTTTTTTTTTTCAATATTTTAAGCTGCCTTCTCCTCATCGGGGGACAGCCACATTTTTCTCTTACCTCACATATCTTTTAGCTGGCGTTCTGCCATGTCATTCCTACACAGATGAGTCATTTTCTTCCCCTCCTCGTACGAGCCCTTTCAACATTCACTGGAAAATAACAAAAGAATACATTTCAATCAAATGAATTTAAGTAAAAATTATACACATAATATAATTAATAATAAACTAATAATAATAATAACGAAAAGGGGGAAAATTGAATAGGAAAAAGCATTAATTAATTACTAGTATTATCTTTTGTAGATGAGCAGGCATCGTGGACTTGTAGGTCTGTTGCCCCAATTAGTGTGCGTGAAAACCCAATCTTCGACGGGCAGAGCCTCTCCCAGTCTACAGATGGCCTCGTATTCATCCATCCCTCCATCGTGTCCGACGTAGGCGATGATGGAGATGACGCCACGTGGCGCAAGAGCTTTCATCGACTCTTCGATGGCGGTTAAAGTGGTGCCACGTGTCGTGATTATCGACTTATCAGATCCTGGAAGGTAACCAAGATTGAAGGTAATTAGCTTAACAGAGTTTGGCGGCAAGTACTCAGAAATCCGGCTATGGCAGTCACGGATGAGCTGGACTCTGGAGAGGCGGTCTCCATCGAGCTCCCGCCTAAGAAGACGACTCGTGTTTTCAATAGCTGCCAGCTGGATGTCGAAAGCATACACGTGTCCTCCTCCTCCTCCTTCCAAGGAAGAACGGCTATGGCGGATCCCACCATTACCCTCCTTTTTTTTTTTATCGTCATTCTCTGCACCATAGCTACTCCAACTACTACCCTGACCACTAGAACTAGCTGTAACACTAGCACTACTACCCTGACCACTAGAACTAGCAGTAACACTAGAACTACAACTATTGCGGCTATAGCTCTCACCGAGCGTCGTCTTCTCCTTCTGCTTGGGACTCGTCGTAGACTGCAGAACGACGGACACGTGTCGAGCGTCCACAGAATCTGGAGGGGGCAAATCGGAAGCACGAGGAGCATTTGCATCCGAATCCCCCTTTGTAGAGGAGATCTGTGATTGGGATCCGGATCCAGATGGGCAAGCACACGAATCAGATAAGAGGGAAGGAGAAAGTGTCGGCGAGGAAGAAGGCGAGCACGATGGGGAGCCCGACCCTGACCCCGACCCCGACCTTGAGTCCGGTCCTGACAACAACGACCCTGATCCCGACCCTGAGACCGACCCCGACCCTGAGTCTGAGTGTGAGCCCGATGCCAAGCCGAAGGTGGGTGGGACAACTAATTGGGCGAGAAAGAGAGTGTCGAAGCCGTTGCCACATGTGCAATCGACGACGATGTCTCCCGGGCGAGCAATCCTCTTCCACAAGGTTTGGGCTATGGCGGTTATCTTCCTCGACCCCGTCACAAGATCCAAAAGAAGGCAGTCCACGTCAGCGTCAGGAGTTGACACGTGGATGGCGTAATCTCTTTCTCCCTCTTTGCCGCCTTCTTCTGCTTCTCCTCTACTTTTCCCTCCTTCCCTTTCTTCTCCTCTGTCTCCTCTTCCTCCTCCTCCTCCTCCTCCTCCTCCTTCTCCTCCTCGTTCTCTTCCGCTGTCCCTCGTTGTCACCATCGCCTCAACCCTGGACAACTCCTGCGCGCCATATCCATGAGCTCCTGTACAAAGCGCGCCGTTCCCGCCATTTCTCGAGAAAAAAGAGAATCGACATTCATCTCGCCGTCGTAGAGAACTCAGTGATTTCCGTGAATCCCGAACAACAACCCATGGGCGAAAAAAGCTCTCAAGTTCAGCAGACGAGTGCGACAGACAGTGGCGTCGCCGCCCATCATCGCGCAGCTGCAGCTGGTGTGACACTCTCGTCGCGCATGAACAGGCGTCGTCGGAACGGCGGCCTCCGGCGAGCAGGCGAAGCAGCTGGCCCTCTTGTCCCCCTCCATTCATTATTAGACATCGATGACCAGGGATCCCGACGACGGACATTTGGACACACGCATAACAAGCACAATCCACCGCTGTTTGTGAGGGGGCTGGCCGCAGCCATCGCGACCGGGCCCATGCGGACTTGTGCGGCGACGACGTGTCCAACGACGACGACGATCGCCATCGCGAGTTGTGTGACCACCGCCAACATCGCCTCGAGCTGTGCGACAACCAACATGTCGCGTGCTTGTGCGGCGACGACCATGCCCACCTGCTTGGAATCGAGCATGTAGACCTGTGCGGCATCGCCGATGCCGATGGACAATCATAAGATCGCGCAACTGCCAATGCCGGCGGGCCACGTGGCATCCACTCTCGCCGCTCACTGCTGGAACGATCTAGAATGCACACGTGGCGGCGGGAGACTGTGGCATTCGACGCCGTGACCCTAGAGGACGCCATTTGGCGCGCGGCCACTGATAATCGGCCGCAGAGTACTGATCGGAAAATCTTCATCCTATTGGCTGACTAATGAGCACGTGGTACGACAACGTTCCTTCACGAGTTTGCCGCCACCTGGCCATGCGGAAGCTGTTTTTTGCTATGCCTTCCTCTGTGGTCAAGACACGTGGCATCTCTCTCTCTCTCTCTCTCTCTCTCTCTCTCTCTCTCTCGCTCTCTCCCCCCCACTACAACGCACTTGCTCGTAATCTGTGTTAGCTTTTATTAATTTCGTTGTCGCTTTTTTGTCCAGTCCAGTTGATGTAGCTCAGTGGTTCGAGCGCCGGTTGGAAATGCGCATTGTGGTATGAAGTTGTGGATTCAAAACTCAATCCAGCCTTGCGCATGGACACCGGCAGGGCGTTAAAATGACGCACGGCTGGACACACACCCCCTTGGGTTGACGCACGGTAAGATTATACAGACACTGCCTGCGCACCACCCAAGGGTTGTCCATGGCGTTGTATTTCGGGTCTTGATGCTGAGTGGGTTGCTTGTGGCTGTTGCTCGTGGTTGTTCTGTTGATCCCCCAGTTTGGCATATCACACACACGGCCCGTTTGCTATTGTCGCTCAAATGGTAGACTCTTCAGGTCACATGTCATAGATCACCGGTTCGAGTCTGCCTTTGGACTTTGGGGGGAGGTCTTGTCCAGCTTGGCCTGTCATCTCTTCAAAACGAACACACAGTTCCCTCTACATAGTACTGAACATATCTGGCCTTCGGGCACATACATCTCGCTATACAGTTACACAGAGCACACATAGCCTTGGGGCAGACACAGAAAACATGGCCCTATGGGCTCATACAAACATTCATAGCCTCTGGGCACACACACATACATATAACTACGATACTGGGCTGGGGGGGTCTATCAGGTATATGACGGGGTCTACTCACGCATGCCTTATCTCCAGGGTAGTGTAGGGATATAAGTCGCTCGGGGTAGTCTGAGTTCCGCCTAGCCTTGGGTAAGCTAGGGGAAGGACGGTAGGATGTGTCCACGGGGGCTGGCCTGCCTTGCTTAGGTAATCCTGCTGGGTAGACTCTCTGAATTGGGCGTGTAGAAGATTGCATGAGCCTGGTGTCCAAAGTTCCCGTACGGCAAGGTTCGTCCGCTTCCACTTCCACTAGGGCTGGGCGGTCGGCCCAGCCTTGGTGCTTGTCACTGCTTCTGGTCCAAGTTGCCCCTTATATTGGCAGGTTGATGGTCTCGAGTGGCTGTTCCGGGGGGCGGACCCCACAGTAATGGATCCACCAGCTCTGCGTCTTGCTTCCCCAATTGACGGTCATGTCATCAGGGTCAGGATTTCTGCCATGTTGTTTTAGGTGGCCTCTGTTACTATTGTCAAATCGTCGACAAACATCCAGTAAATGGGTAAGGCTTCCTCCGGGATGCCTGCCAGACGAAGACGAGAGATTTTTTTGTTTGTTCTTAGGTTTGCCCCCAGAGCTTCCATTACGATGATGAAGAGAAAGGGGGCTATGGGATCTCCCTATCTCACTGAGCGTTGTAGTCTGAATTCTGGTGTTATCAAGTCATTCACCTGCTCTCATGTTGTCGCATTGTGGTGGAGAATCTTTATCCAGTCCCGGAATTCCGATCCAAAGTTCATTTTCTGAAGGCATTTGTGTAGGAAGCTCCGGTCCACATGGTCGTAAGTTTTCTCAAAATCAATAAACACGATTGCAGCGTTTTGTTTTGTTTGTCTTGCAAGTTTTATTAGTTCATTGACTAATAGCACATTATCTTGGATGCTCCTGTTGCGCATGAATCCAGTCTGCGCTGGGTGGATTATCTCCTCCAAGATGGGGATCATTCTGTTGGTCAGCACTTTGACCACCAATTTGTATACCACCGTGAGGAGGGTGATTGATCGGTAATTCCTTATATTTGTTTTATCACCTTTTTTGTACAGTAGGGTGAGGATTCCTTGGCCCGCAAATTCGCCGATTTCTCCTGATACCTTCACCTGCCTATAGTATTCCATCAGGTTCTCCGACCTAAGGGACCACATTTCCTCCCAAAATTTTTTAAGAAGTCCGTCTATCCCGTCTATCCCCAGGTTTTTATCTTCTTCCATTTGTAGGAGGGCGCTCCATATTTCCCCTTTTCGCAGTGGTTTTTCCAGAGCCTCACGTTGTTCGTGTGATATCCTTTTCGTAAGGGGGTCTAAAAATTCCTCAATCTTACCTTCCTTTGCTGGTCCTGGTTCCTTCGTCAAGTTGGGGGTGAAGAGGTCTTTGTAAAAATCCCTGGTCACTTTTGGACTGTCGGCTGATGGGAAAGAGATGACCTCCCGTGTTTTAACAGGGTCGTATAGACCTTATATGGCTGATCTTTCGGCCCTTGTCTGGGCTAGTGCAAAAAATCTTATATCCATTTGTCCCTTTACCGAGTGCTTTAGTATTTTTCCTCTCATTATAGATCCCTGACGCCTTTTTTGTGCAAATTTCAGTAGTTCTTTGAGTTTTTGTATTTAAGTGGACTCCGTTTCAAAGTTTGGGTGCCATGGTTGTTCCAGTTCATAGTTCTGAATTTTCTAATGTATTTCCAATTCCTTAGCATATTTCTCTTTAGCGCGTATTTTAGATAATTCATTGCATTTTCTGGTTAAAAAGGCCAGCCCATTGTTGAACCATGCGATGTGTGACCTGTGTTGGTCCTTTGTAGTGCGCCAGTACTCCCATACATCCCTGAGGAACCTTTGAAATTGTCTCAGTTTAAGCAGCGATGTATTGAGCTTATATAATCCTTTGCCTTGGTCAGTTTTCTTGCGGAACCTGAGCAGAACCGCACACATCTTGTGGTCTACCCTTGGCCATGGGCTCTGTGGGAAGATGGTCGCGGCTTGTATTGCTCTGTCCAAATCCTCCGGTATGAGAATGAGGTCGATTCTTGATCTGGGTTGGTACGACATTCCGCTGTTCAATATGGAGGAGAATATATATTTTTTGGGGTATATGCGTCGAAAGGAGTCATATAGATGCTCCGCCTCACAGAGTCTATTAATTATCCTTTCGTCCTCTTCTATATAGGTCGGGCAAGGGGTAGGGATTCTCCACCAGTCCATACTGCAATCGAGTGCTACGTTGAAGTCCCCTGCGATTATCAAGGGAAGTCCATGTGGTAGTTGGACCCGAATCTGTTCGAAGAAGGTTTTGTGGTGCTCTATTTCGTTGGGACCATACACACAAATTACGCAGACTATCTCTATTTCCAACATGAGGAGGACCGCCGCCCATCTCCCCTCCCTTGTGTCCACCGCTGAGTGGATGACGTATGCCCGAGAGTCCGGGGGGACCCAGATCGCCACTCCTGCCGAGCCCGGGGTTGGCGCATAGGAGGTGATTTTTTGAAAAGGCCAAACTTGATTGTGTGCGTTATTGTGCTCCGGGGAGTCCGTGATGTGGGTTTCCTGGATGCAGATAAGGTCCGACCATTGTCTCCCACCCACTCCTTTGATTTGCTCCAACAACGCCTTGCGTTTTTGTGGTCTTGCCAACACCAGCCCATTCACGTTGAGTGAGCGTAAGTCTAGATCTGCCACCTGGGTTGCCCTAATCCACGCTTTATCCTTACCGTAGTGGGTCTGTAATATGTCTGCTCCCTGGTTGGACAGCTCGTCTCTTGCTTGTTGCTGCTGGTTCCCGGATTCGGCGTTGTCCATGGCCGATAAATTTTAGCCAGTCCGCGGTGTCTAGCAAGAAGGTGTCCTGCAAGAGATTGTCTTAAGAGTGAGCATAAGCAGTGTAGCACATTTGCGGACCTCCCTAGAGAGCTGTCCCTGGTTCTTGTCTGATGCACCTCTAACAGTTCGGCGTGGGAGGGCCAGATCAGACCCGCCTCCGTGAGCTAGTGTGATATCATAGTCTATATGGATGTATGTGGTTGCTTTCTGCTACTAATGAACCTTGCTTATGTCTGTTCACTACGGAGGATCGACCAGTGGTAATGGTGGAGACCTCGACCCTCATCAACCAACCCCGACCAACCGCTGATAACCCACCACCCCAGAATGGGTCTACAACCATCGAGAGTAGGACACACCTCTTGATTCGACATTGGTTTCTCTACAAGGCACCCCTGCCACAAAAGGACTGCCATGGTGTCACCATGCACCCAAACAACCCCTTACCACTCTCCGCCCCGAAAGAGAGTAGCATCCATCCCACATCAGCTTTTCCCGCAGGAAAGGCACACGTCCCCACCCAAATCCATCCAGAGGATCATCCCTAGCTGATATGACGAACAGTAAATATAGACATGACGAACGAGCATCGTATGGAGGACCTCCAAGTTACAATATCAGAGCGCTACCCACTGAGCTATTGAGGTCATTAGTCTGTAAAGGCGCTATGCCACGCTCGGGACAAGTACGTGGGGTGCAACCTACACCAACCAATTGTGCTCGGGGGAAGTTGTGGGCCGACAAAGTTGACTCCTCAACCTCCCCGTTGCAACACCGGAGCTCTGCCCACTGAGCTACCACGCACTTGCTTACCAACTGACTGTCTCGAAAGTAAGACGCCAAGCATGCCACAGACACTCTCGTGGGAGGCAATGGGAGTTGAACTCTTGAGTGTCGCTTGAACCCCTTACCAATTGAGCAACACCCAGTTGGTAGGTCATCCATTAGCTCTTGCATCTTGAACCCACTGAGATACAATATCAACGGATCTGTGTCCATGCTGTCCTAGGCTGGGGGACAAGTACGTGAGGTGCCAACCAACCTAGGACCGACTGGTTGGGCACAAGGGAGTTTGAGGGCCGACAGAAGCGAACCCACAACCTCCCCGTTGCAACGCCAGAGCTCTTTTTTTTTTTTTTTTTTTTTTTTTTTTTTTTTTTTGAGAAAACCCGTCCCCTCAGGTGATCATGGTGCTGGTACTGTCTCTTATACACATCTAGATGTGTATAAGAGACAGCACATATCCACAACCCAAAAATAAGGAAAGGACAAAAGAAACACAGTTTAACACACACATTATTTATCTTTAAACTTTAAACTTTTGAGGCGATAATTTAGCCACAACAGCATTGGTCCGAATACTGTGCCCACTGATCTTATTGTATGTTGTGAACAGGCAGCAAATATGAAAACATGCACTCTCTAAAACAAAACCATCTCAATTTTAACTCGAGTGTTTTCTTCCACCTCCCTCCAGCAGAGCTGAAATGCGGTGGAAGGAAACACTCTCAAGTTCTTTTTTTTCTCACAGAAGAAACCCATTTTAAGTTTTAACAACTTATGTTTGCTGCACATGGTTCAAAATTCAAATGGGTTTCTTTTGTGAGGGAGAAAAAAAACAAAGAAACAACAAAAAACAAGGAAAGAAATAAAGAGGGGGGAAAAAAAAACACTAAGGAAACAGGAAAACAAACAAAAGAAAAGGGCAAAAGGAAGAATAGGACTAAGAAGACAAGTCCAAAAGCCAAGACGAAGATCCAATCAGCTCCTCCTGATCCCAAGACCTTGATACCGTGGACTGCCAGCGGTAAGCTCCACCGCACTCAGATTCTTCGCTTTCAACCGTTGATTTCGAGGATCAATGGCCAGAGACGGATTCCACACCCACCCACACTCCCATCTTCCTCCCATACTCAATCCAAAGAAAACAAAATTCCAAAACCCAAAACCCTAAACCCTAAACTTGGCCACAATGTCAGGTCTACAGCAGCCCAAGTTGCAGGCAGGGGGGGTTGGGGGGGAGAGGGGGGGGCAAAATACTGGAGCTCCCCCTACTTCCCCTCCCCCTTGCAGTTAGGGGGTGCTGCAATATTCTGCACTGCCTCGTCCAGTTACCCTGCACCCACACACTCCCTACTCCCTGTCTCTTATACACATCTAGATGTGTATAAGAGACAGGGGTAGGGTAGGGGATAGCATGTGGGAGTTAGAGATAGGCATAAGGGGTTACAGGGGGGAAGAGGAGACAAGTGGGGAACTAAATCATAAAACGATTAAAAAAGTGGGTAAATAGCACCCAAGAGCCTAGCTCAGTGGGTACACCCATGAACTGTTGAAATACAGACCTGTGTTCGAATCCAGATGATGGAACTTGACAATTGAAACCAACTACTAATAAATTGCTTGGGGTTGGTCAGCTCAATGATAATATCTCAAGGCCGTCGCCCTTTAAAAAAAAAACAAAAAAAAAACAAAAAAAGTGCGTAATAACGGATGCTGGGGTGAGCAGGAGGCAACTTGAGCGTCAACAGTTATGGACTGCTCAATACTACCGGTAGTAGTGCAGTACAGGGGGGCAACAAGGGCCCGACAAGGCTATATGGGATGAGAGTAGTACCAGGCGGGATCACGAGCGGTAGAAATAACAATGTGAAAAAGGATGTGAGGAAAGATGGAATTAGTTAGGGGACCAGCTACAGCAAGTAGGAAAACGATGTTATGGGCGTAACTGCGAGCACTGGGCAAGAAGGTTGTGGGACAATTTAGGGCCTGAAACAGGACAATTTAGGGCCTGAAACAGGTTGAATGGGGATAGGCGAGGTCATGGGTATAGCAGAATGAATGGTAATACGGGATGAATGAGGCATTGTATGAGGTACTAACAGGACTCTATCTTTTTTTTTAAATATGGCAATGCATCTTTCCATGTTCTGGTACAGGATTCAGTCTCATTTTGTCGTGGAGCGAGGCCCGATATCTCTCAACGGGCACAGGCGGTCTCATACCTGCAAACAGAAATCGAAATCGATTTTTTTTTTTTTTTGACTCTATCTTAGTCCAATCCAGGCTCAAAAAATAGAAAAGAAAACAAAGAGCGAGTGCCATACATAATGGCCCCTCAGACCAAGATGATGGCGATTACAGTTGCTCACTGATCCATTGTCTACTTCAGTAATCTGCAAACCAACAAAATATTTTCCCTTATAAACTTGTGCATAGTAACGGATAAATTTAGGCAAAATACAAGATCTACGTGACCAGCTTTTCCAACTCTGGCGAGCCACACGCGAGTGCTTTTTCAACAGACAAGCATCTACAAATGGACCTTTCCATACAGTCAGCAGACGGAAGGGAGCCTAAATCAATGGACTCCAAAGAGCACATCACATACTTGAGCACTACGAATCGGTTGGCGGTCGGGTGAGACCACTAACTAAGCAGTCGTTGGCCGCTTCGACATCTACCGACTTCGTACCCTTTGGAAATAAATTAAATTATGCCTGAGAGAAAGGTCTGGCCAGAGCAAGCAGACTACAGAGGCACCTTTTGCATTGATCTGCTTCTGATTCAAGAATAGTATCAATAGCTATAGCAGTCTTACCTGTTTGTCTATCTCCAATAATTTCTCGTTGACAACGAACGACCTATTGGAACAAGGCTATCCATCACTTTTAATCCTGTTTGCATTGGTTCATGCACAGATTTACGTGAAATAATGCCCGGAGCTTTGACTTCTACACGTCTTCGCTCTACCGCGCCTAAAGCACCTGGAGGTTACCCTACTGCGTGACTGGGTGCTGCTAGCAAGCCTCCCGGCCAGCAGGGCAACCCCCTAAGGAAGGCCACGGACTGGGGAAGGGAAGCCCTGTAACAGTCCCCTTGCCAGGCGGCTAGTGCCTGCCACAAGGGATCACCTGATCTTCTTTCTCGTCTTTCCCCCCCTTCATCTCTTGGATGTTTTTTTTTTGTTTTTTTTTAAAACCCCCCACCGGTGCTAATGGTGCTGTTGGATGTAAAAACATGTTTGCTCAACTTTGCTGGTAATAAGCAACCGGACTGTTGCCCCCGAGAATAGAAGGGGCGTGGGTTGTTCTTTTCATTAAAAAAAAAAAAAAAAAAAATTTAAAAAAAGCCCAAACTTCACCATATTCATGGAATACAGTAGAATATCGAGCACAATATAATCTAAACTTTCAAACATTTAATGAAATGATTAATTCCCCAGGATTGCAAAGCTACAGCATGGATGTCATATGAATAGTGTAAAATTCTCAAACTGAAGTAATGAGCGAAAGCTGTTGATGACACTGGTCGATGACTTAATGTATTTATAATGTATTATTAGTATTACTACTATGTATTATTACTATTATAATAGTGTCATTATTATTATTAATGATCCTTCTGAAACACAAAATGAAATTTCTGTGCGAGACAGGACCCGGAGTACAAGTACTACGTCATTGCCCACCTCAAAGACCTGCAATACCTGGACTATCGCCTCGTTGACAAAGATACAGTAAGTTACGGAAACACACACACTCGCCCACACCCACACTCACCCACCAACTCTCTCTCNTTTTTTTGAGAAAACCCGTCCCCTCAGGTGATCATGGTGCTGGTAAGAGCAGTCACCACTACCACCTGGGGCGAGGCTCCATCTATTGGTGGGGAGCGTCACCTGCTGGAAAACGGGTCCAGCGTCCCGTGTACAAACTGCAATCAGAATAACATCAGAACACAATGGAGAGGGTTTCTGCCAGCATTGATTACCCTGGGTTCCAGGGGATTGACTGAGCAGTGTGTCGTCCTCAATCTGCCATCCGTAATCTATCCTGCGGGGCCCTAGATACTGATTGCCCTCACACAAGTGCGCTCATCCTTCTCAGACCCCGACCAACCTTCCATCCAGATCCTGAAGTAGTAAGTCTTTATTGCAGAGTGACTGGCTGTAAGCTAAACCAGGGCATGGACAGGGGGGGGAGGAGGGGGGGGGGGCGCTCTTCACCTTGTACACGGCGCCAGATGTCTGCTACTATTTACTACCTCCTCTACCCCCCACCGCAAAATCTATCTCTCACTGGCCGTCCATTCAAGTGCTCTTCTCCCCTACTGGCTCATTCATCCTCCATGCCACTGCTTCTCTACCAGGCAATTAGAGGGGGGGGGGAAGAAATCAGGGAAGTCGCCCGGGGGCTTCAGGGGGATTGCCGCATCAACTTTGGTCCATTCCTTTTTTTTTTTTTTTTTAAMAAACAACTCCCCGCCAGTGATAGTGTTGCTGCTGAACACAGGCATCACTACCACCCGGGGAGAGGCTCCATCTATTGGTGGGGAGCATCACCTGCTGGAAACCGGGTCCAGCGTCCCATGAAACTTGAACATTGAACAGACTTACAGTGTCGTAGGGAGAGAGTCCCGCCAGCATTGATTGCCCTGGAGCCCAGGGGATTGACTGGGCGGGAGGGACGGAAAGGGGGCTGCTTCACCGGAGTCCCGGCGCCAAATGCCTACTGTTGTACCCTAGCTCCCCCCTCCCCCCTCCTTCCTTTAGCTGTGCTTCTTAAAAACTGAGACAGCAAGGCTGAACCAGCCTTACAGACAATATTGCTAACCGACAGTGAGACACGTCCACGCTCCTCCCCATTATGGCTGGGAGGCCCGAGTGCCATCCTCTACATTCCGTACCACTGCATCCCTACCAGGCAGTTGAATGGGGGGGGGAAGGGGTCGGGGAATTGCTCGGGGGGTCTGAGGGGGATCTCTGCATCAAGCTTAGCCCAGTCGTTGAACAGCAGTCGGTAATCCCTCTCTATCGCTGTTCCCTGTTGGCCCTCGCCTGACTCCTTTGCCTCCCCCTTCCATTCTACCATCCCAATTCTTCCTCCGGTGGGGCCTCCCAGCCAGTTTGAACTGAATTCTTGTATTTTCTGCTTAATGTCTTTTTGGGTTTGCAATGATCGGATCTTAGTTTTAATTGCCTCCCATTTGGCTGTTATTTCCGTTTGAATCTGCAGTACCACGCTCTCAGTAAACTCTGGGCCTTCTAGCCTCGCCCCTTCCATTTCAAATGTGCAGCACCGTTTCCACAGTGCCCAGAGGATTGCTCATCTTGCCAGTACGAACAAGTTAGACGTGAATTCCTTGCGGTGCTCCGTCGGTTCCCCGGGTCAGGTCTCACAGAGCAATGCCTTCCACTCCCAGGGCCAAGGTGTGTCCGTGCCCAGATGACTCCAAATTCTGTCCCACCACCTCCACAGCCACAGCGATCCCGGGCATTTTAAGAATATATGCTCTATTGTTTCCGGGTACTTTCGAGTCGGGAAGGCGTTCGTGCATAATTTGCACCAGGGTAGGGCCAGTCAACGTTGTTCCAGTGTTGTTCTATCAATTAGCCAGTCATTGGTTGGCAGGCAGCGGTGTTCTATCTACCATTGAAGCGATGCGATCTTAGCCGGTTTTTCCTTAGCCAGCTGGAACCATTTAATGGGCCTTAATGCCGCCTGACTGATGTTTAGGTGAGCAACCCATCGGTCTTTCACTTGATCGGCAAGGTTAATTTTTTGTCTGAGCAGCCTGTATGTTGACTTTACTGTTAGTCCGTAGAGTGTTTTTGTGCAGTCCTTGCCCCTCCGTCTTTGGGATGTCCATGGCCACTCCAACGGATCCAGGGGTAGGTGGTGGATTGGGGAGGATGGCCTAAAAGCTATCCATTGTCGATTCTCCTGGAGCACCCTAATACGGAAAAGTTATGTCCTTGGATGTACCGATGACGTCTCGTCAGTGTCTTTGTAAAGGGTGTTTCCTTTCTTTACGTGGAAGTGGTCCACCGTTACAGAACCATCCGGATGTATGGAGCTAACCCTGCCCACACCCCCTATGTTTGTCGGGCATGCCACCCAGTCATCTTTCTGTAAGGCAGGGCCCTTGCGCAAGGTTCTCACCCAATCTATAGGGACCATTTCCGTTATTTTTCCGAGTGCTTCTTGGGGGTGGTGGCAGTACCGGAGCTTTTCCCGCAAAAGGTTCGGCTCAATCCAATCCTTCTTTTCTGAGTCCCAAATGTCCTGTATCCTTATGACCCCTTTCCTGACCCAACCTTGCCATGGCGACTCCATGCAGTGGAGTGTTTGGCCATTCGTGTCTGTTATCCACCGGTTGCCAAAAAGAGGTTGTCGCATCACCTCCTCCCACCTTTCTGGCGGTATTTTGTCCAGGAGGGGGAGGCTTCTCCAAGTTTTGAGGAGGTTGGGCCAGAAGGGATCATTCGCCATGTCGTTCCTGGCTGCTTGCCTGGATGTAACGTGATGGGGGTCCCGTTGTCCTGACCCTATAGGGATGACCCATTCCCTATTTTCTAACCACGTTAAGAGATCAATGCCTTCTTTTGTCTGAGGGGCTAGTCTGGTGATTTGTTCCAGGGCCAGCCCTTGCCAGGGGGATTCCTCGTTGAAAATGAGTCGTTTGACCCATTGTATTGCCAGTGCTTTTGTCTGGGTGAGCGGGTCGATGATCCCTAGACCCCCCTTCATTTTTGGTTGGATTATTGAGCGCCACGCCACCCTGCTGATCACATTTTGCCTATCGTTGGCCCCTCTCCACGAAAAGGAAGCCACTTGACGTTGCAGGGGACGCATCGCTTTTTTATCCAGCGCCCAAATTGTTGATTTGTACCACAACGAGGCCAGAACCGCATTGTTTATTACGAGGGCGCGGCCCCATAGTGAAGTGTGCTTGTCTTTCCAAAGCGCTATTTTAGCAAGGAGGGGGGGGCATGATCCATTCCGGGTTGGTGGGGGGTCTACCTTCTGCCGTGAGTGAGATTCCAAGCACTCCTATGGGGGCCTCCCTAGGGAGCCACTTGAGTCTCGGTTGCTCTGGGGGTCTCACTCCTTGATGATGGATCCACCAGCCTTGGGTTTTATTGCCCCAATTCACTCTCATACCTGATAGTTGGTAGAAGCGGTCCATCATCCGTTGGACTCCCTCCATGGATTCCCTGGTTGCATCTACCATTAGCGTCAGGTCGTCTGCAAACATTGAGCAAACCGGGATTGCATCATTGGGTATTGCTGACACGCAAATCCTCTTTATATCTTTGTGGGTCCGCAGGTTGGCTGCCAGTGCTTCCATGACTATCATAAATAGGTAGGGGGCAATAGGGTCCCCTTGTCTGACCGATCTCTGTAATTCTATAGGCGGGGCCAAGTTGTTATTAACCATGACCCTGGTTGTCGCGTTCATGTGCAGTATTTGGACCCAGCGTCGGAAGTCAGGCCCAAAGTTCAATTTTTCAAGGCATTTATCTAGGAAGTACCAATCAACATGATCGTAAGCCTTTTCGAAATCTATGAAGATTATTGCTGCATTGTTTTGGGACTGCCTGGTTAGCTTGATTACCTCGTTGACCAGAAGGATGTTGTCTTGGATGTTTCTGCCCTGTATGAAGCCCGTCTGGTCTGGGTGGATAATGTCTGTCATTATTGGTTCCAAGCGATTAGTCAGGGCTTTGGCAATCAGTTTATAAACCACCGTGAGCAGCGTGATTGGTCTGTGGTTCCTGATGTTAGTTCTGTCTTCTTTTTTGTAGAGTAGAGTTAGCACACCCTGTCCCACAAACCCCCCCACCCGACCGGTTTCCCAGATTGTATGGTAAAAATCCATTAGATCCTGTGAGATGATCGGCCACATACATTCCCAAAACTCTTTCGGCAAACCGTCTATACCTGGGGTTTTCTCCTCCTCCATTTGCTTCAGCGCCTCCCAGACTTCCTCTTTTGACAGTGGGCTTTCAAGCGCCTCTCTTTGCTGGGGGGTGAGAGATTTTTTCAGAGGGGGCTAAGAACTCCTCAATTTCCAGTTTCGGTCCATTCCTTAACCCACTGAGCACCACATCTTGTTCCCCATAGCTTGTGTTTATTTTGCATTTGGTGAGTTGTGCAGCGAGGCCCTTTGAGAGCATACTCACACTAGGACTTCTTCTGCTGATATCTGACCATACTTGCGGCCAGATACATCTGGCCATAATTGGATTCAGAATCCAGGATTTAAAAGCCCTTGTGTGAACATGCTCTGACGATTTCCTCAGGCTGCAACTGTGGCATAATGATCCTCCCTGGTCAACTAAAATGTGTGACCATTGATCTTCAACAGCTCCTTGCGGCACGGGAGCAATATCAAGATGAGCTGTTGGAGTTGGAAGAAAGAGACGAAGCTGAAGAGGCCAGACAAAAAGCCCAAGCAGAATTAAAGGCTCGACTTGAGCTGTACGAGGTACGTGCTTAGTCCCATTTTCTTTTTCACCCTCTTTCCCCCCCCCCTCCCTGCCTCACCGTTGTTTTCCGGGAAAGCTGGGCTCCAGCTGTAGGAGGTAGTTGAAGGTACTATGTGCTTTGTGTGCCACAACATCAAACCACCAGTGCATTTTGCAGGCAAATTATTCCGGCTGTGTATGTGCCATGGCCTTTGGGGCTCAGCCTGCCGGACCGAAAAGACTGTGGTCGCCAGCCAAAAAGAAAGAATTTTGCATCTGCTCTGCTTCGAGAAAACTCGGCACGTGGCAGAAATCAGCTTTGCGAAAAAGAGGCTCAGAAGAACAGGTGGTTAAAAACTACGATAATGACCATCTTTTTTCCCAATTAGCATTGAATTTTCTGCCTGCCCCTCACATTCCAAACCATTGCAGGGACAAGGCCTACCGGACCCCACCACCCATTTGATCTTGTAGACCGAGTCTTTCCACACAGTTGTGTCAAACCACCAGTACTTGGCCCAATATACGGCTGAGGGCTGGCGCCGAGACTTTCAGGGGTTTGGGCCGCTCGGCAGGCCGTTGATGAAATTCATCAACAGCGGCCTCAAACCCCGAAATGTTGCGGTACATTAACGGTTCAGCTTTCAAAAAATAACTGGCCAAGTACTGGTGGCTTAAACCGGTCGATCCCATAACAATGTTGAGGCTCTACCTTTCAAAGTACCTATGTGAGGCAGTCTCATTATCTCAGGGGCACTACCGGTTAGGATAGCTGAGTTGGGAGAAAAGTGTAGCGGCGTTGACTGATTGGCCCCAGGTAATTCAGCATTATTTCTTTCTATCCAGCCAGACTGAGTTCCATCTGGATTTGAACTTAGGTGTGCATTTCAACAGTTCATTGCTGAGATAGGCCCTTCGGCACATGGCTGAGTTTGGCCTCACCTCCCCACCGTAAAATATCGGGATAGTAGATGGGCTTCCGGTCTCTCCATAGCGCTGCGCTTTACACTTTCCTTTTCTCCAACACGAGTGCTGGTGCCTTTGAAAACCAAACTTTTTGGTGTCAGCTGTGGAGTCCCAACTTTGGGCCTCGCTCCACCACCCTCGGTCCAGCTTTGAAACCAGAGAGAGAGAGAGAGAGAGAGAGAGAGAGAGAGAGAGAGAGAGAGAGAGAGAGAGAGAGAGAGAGAGAGAGAGAGAGAGAGAGAGAGAGNGAGAGAGAGAGAGAGAGAGAGAGAGAGAGAGAGAGAGAGAGAGAGAGAGAGAGAGAGAGAGAGAGAGAGAGAGAGAGAGAGAGTTGTCAGACTCTCCATTTCAAGTGGGATGGAGGCCTCACTCGACATAACTCTTGATTTGCAACATTCTCCATTCTTTTGTTTCATCTCCTTCTTCCCAACACCTGATAAGAAGAAGAAGGGAAAACTGTTGAAATACCCCTAGAAGTTGGGGTATTTCGTCGGATACCCCCAAAAAACAGGGGTACAACAAAATGCCCCCAACTTCTGCTTTTGCCCCTGTCCCAAGCATGGAAAACTTTGCTCTTTGCACTTCACCGTGGACTGCAGAGGCCGACACACTACTTTTGCCATCAACAGGATCAGGATTGACAGCTGCTTTGTGTGCATGCAACCGTGATCTTCGGACAGAGATAATAGCATGGTTGCAATCGCAAGGTTGCCAACCCCTTGGTTGCAAGTGCTCTTTTTTTTTTTTTTTTTTTTTTTTTTTTTTTTTTTTTTTTTTTTGAAACTTTGTATACGGGAAACCTACTTATCGGGGTTATAAGAGCATCCCCTATAAGTAGTTCCCGGCGTTGAAGGCTCCATCTATTGGTGGGGAGCTACACCTGCTGGAAATCGGGTCCGGCGTCCCTGTACAATGATGAGATTGTATCTGCTGGAAATCGGGTCCAGCGTCCCTGTACAGAGATGTGAAAGTGTCTGCTGGCAATCGGGTCCAGCATCCCTTTGATCCTATGCATCTGATCCACAGTATCACTATGTATGTAAAACAATCCACGATGTGATGTATGTGTGATGTAAGTGTGCTGTATGTGTGATGTGGTGTATGTGATGGATGTGTTCTATATCAATCAATCATTTAACACGAAACCCTATGTACATAGATGTGAATGTATCTGCTGGAAATCGGGTCCAGCGTCCCTATAACCTTATGCATCTGATCCACTGTTATCTCTGTAAATGCACAGCAATCCACGAAACCCTAACCAAGATGTAATGTATGTCTGCGGGGCAATCAGCACTCTGATGTTGATTGATATTGTCGGCCGAACTACACCAATCAACAGCGACTATCGCACTCCCAACAACGACTATCCCACTCCTAACCTCAGCCAACCAACGAGGTTGAAAGGGGGGAGGGGGGGGGGGATGGCAAACCTCTTATCCGTGTCAAGCCC